AACAGCCCCGCTCTCCGGGCGCTGTGTGCGCCTGGAGCGGCGCGAGGGCCGCTTCCCTGGGACGCGGATGGCATCCTACAGCCCCTCTGGCTTAGTACTGATCCTTGGCTTCCCAGCGCCCTGCCGAGCTGTAATTCCCAAGTGCTTTGTCAACGCTGCGCTTGATCAGTGAGCCGGCCTTTTTTTTTTACTTCTTCCCTAGTAATGTCTCTTTTTTTTTTTTAAATTGGACTTTCCGTTGAATTCTTATCTCTTGGCCCAATCTGGAAAATAGGAAACGGGTGCGTGCGGGGAGATCTCGTTTTCTGCCAGTCAGCAAAGACCCCTTTCGTGAATCTGGCTGGTTATTACTGAAGTAATGCTCCTCCTCTTGTTTTCTTTGGACAGTGTTAATGTGCCGAGGGAAGGCAAAGCAGGATTTTAAAGGTCCAGACTGTCGCTTTGTAAATTTTAAGAAGGGAGAAGCAGTGTACGTCTATCACAAACTAATAGGAGGATCCACCGAGCTCTGGGCTGGAACTGTAAGTACTTGTGTTCCGTTTGCTTTCTGTTGGTGCTCTTTTATTTTTTTCCCTTCCTTTTGCCTCGCAGGAGGATGCTTAAGGTTTTGTTACGGCTAAATAACGTAACGAGTGCCATTTTATCTGGAGACCAGTGTGAAATGGGAAGCGGTTTGATCAAACTGAAGGCATTAAGTGCTGTGAAAAAAGGGCAAGGCTAATGCGTGCTTAAAAAACTGTTAGAAAACTGCCTTTGTGTTGAAAACCTCCCATGGCAGCACTGCAGGTGCTAGCCCACCGGCTTGCTTGGGAGCTGAGCCCTCCTTCTCGCATAGGGAGGCTTAAGCCCGCGCTTGCATTTACCTCTGACGTGGGCTTATCCTGCATTCGTGTAAACCTGCTAAAGATTGCTCCACATACGTGTTCTAATCATGTTTCTCTGCCTAATACTCAGCTGCTGACTACCCCTTTTTATCTAAGCTGCGTGCAGAGTCAGAGGAAAAAAATAGTAGTGAGACTAGAAAGAATAAAGGTAAATTCAGACTGGGTTTTTTTGGAAGGCCTGTCTCTTTTTCGGCTTTAGTAATGCACTGTAGCACCTGGCAGAGTAGTGGCCTTGTCTGAGCTCTCATCTTCTCTGGGCCATCTGAGAGGGCCACGTTAATGGGAAAGGAAGGTCCCCATGCTTGTAGTTACTTCACAGAAAACCCCTTTTGACTTTCGTGATAAACACGTTATTTGCCAACAGGAATAGCGCTGAGATACCCGGAAGGAAGAGCAGTTTTTTTGGGCTTCCCTTGAAAATGCTGGTAGTCTGGAGGTTGTTCAGATTGAGTCCCTGCTGCCCCCTCCCCATGCTTCCCCTCTATGTGTCCAAATTGTTTACTTCAACCTCCTTTCTTACTTTGGCCTTCCTCAAGGGATACACAGCTGTGGTCTGGGATGCTCGAAGCCACACCTGGGTGTCAACTGTGGGGCTAGTGGTTTAGTGAAAAGCAGGATGTACCACTTTCTCTAACCTGCTCAGGCTGGGTGTGGGCAGCCAAGCTCTCGGCAGGAGCTGAATCCAATTAGAATGATACAGAAGAGAGCAGAAAATGGCAGCACGTGGTTAAAGAAGAGTTTATAATTGTATCGCGCTGGTAATTCCCTTCTGACATGTACCGTGCCATAAATAATCTGGTTAATTAGGTGGTACGGGTTTCCAGGGCTGCCAGTTCTTGAGACGCGGTGTAGCGACGCAGGGCCAATTTTGCATCCTCAAACAAGGTCTAATGCAGGCTGCGAGATCAGGCGGCAGGTTTTAGGTAATTGCTGAGTTAATACTCTGTTTCACTGTTGACTGATAGGAGGCTCACGCAACAGCTAGGTGTGTCTCCAAGTTAAAAGGATGTTTGCTTTAACAAGTAAAAGCTGAAGTTGGCAGATGTAAAAGAATTGTGAAGCTCCATTTGATTTATTCTGATTTTTGTTAATGTTGTCACACTATTTGCTGTGTTCCTGTTAGGATGATGACAGACTAATTCCTTTCAGTTGGTGGCTATAACCCTTATTTCGTTTTTCCCTGGTTTGACTGGCTGCTGCTGCGTTACTGCAACGACGGGTTTGCCAGCGCTGCGGCGGGGTCAAAGGTGCAGGACCGTTGCACGTCGGGTTGGGCACTGGCAGGTCTGACCCTGTCCCTGACTCGCAGGTAGCGCCAGGGTCTCCCGGGCAGCCTGACTTCCCATGCCAGATTCGGCTGGGCAGCTTGATTGATGCAGAGCAGCCGTGCCTGCTGTCTGCAGTCTTGGAGCTAGGGGGAGGCTGTTGCTTGCTAATTAAAACCAGTCTACTTAGTGAGGTCTGTGATCAAACACATTCCAGTGGAAGGCACGTTACCTTCTGCTACAGACCTTTCGGGATCCCATCGCGTGACTTTGTGTGGGCTCGTTTGATCCCGTGCGTCTGCTCTACTGCCTTTTCCACTCCCCAGAGTTTTGGGGGAAAGTATTAGGGCATAACGGAAACCGAAATCAAGGGATAAGTGGTTTTCTGATCTTCAGATGGGGCAGAGGTTAGGGGAACGTGTGTACAAGAGGTTTCAGCTACTGAAACCTGGGGCTTATTTCAACCAAGTTGTAAATACAGGCCCTAATCCTGCAATCGATTTTGAGGAGCCATGAGAAACACAATAGTGCTTCTGACCTGAAGGGGGATGATCTGATAAGAAAGGAGCCTTCCACCAAGGCTGAAAAAATCTATAGCACTTGGGTCTGGGCTTTATTTGTGTTTTGCTTTTCTAATTCACTCCACTCTTTATGTTGATTTTTATTTTTTCCCCTGTGCCAGCAAACACATCGTATTTTAACAAAATAGAGCCTTTATTTTATGATCCCAGTCTTGTGTACTTTATTGCTTGCAGAACTCCCGTTGAGCTCAGTGAGGGTTTTGCACGTGCAAAAATCCTGGAGCCCAGCTATAATACATATTCTGTATTTTGTATGACACAGATTTTAGCAGAGCTGTCTAAACCTCATTAATGAAGCAAAACCAAACGCTTGGACAATATTCTGTGACTGCTATTTAACAGTGATTTTATGTTATGAATTTCACAAAGAGTTCAGTTCCAGGAAAATACTTGCATTTTTTCCCCCCAAGACGAAAGGTGGCGCACATCTGGTGCTGTCATCGCTCAGTGCACCCTGTCCTGCTCTAAAACCAGTCTCCTCTTTAGCATCCACCCGGCCTCGTTGGCACTGTCGGAGTGGGTTATGTAGGCTGCCCTCCTGTGCCTTTCTCCTGCCTTCATCTTTAGCAGAGCACAGAACTCCAAAACTGCTTCAGGTAACGCCGAGTAAAACCTGCTTTTTAACAAAACATTTCAGCAGACATGCTTCAAATTATCGCTGCAGAAGGTTTGCCTTACGGCAAAGGGCTGGACGTTATTCCCTTGATTCAAGGTTAAAAAAGCTGTTTCTGGTCTCATGTTACAAGAAATGGACTTGGCTACAGATCATGGTTTTTTTTGGGTGGTTGGTTTTGTTTGTTTTCAAACCTTATACACAGGGTAGTGGAAAGGAAAGCAGGTGGGGTAAATTTAAGGTGAGATAGAGTATGTCTGAAGGACCCAGAGGATCAGGGAAGCTGTTCCTGTGGTTTCTGTGTTTTCTTAACAATGCCAGCGTTCAGAAGGGGCAGACCAGACCAGCTCCCTCCTTTGACCGGCGTTCTGCGGCTTTCAGTACCTGTGACCCCTGCGCGTCAGGGATGTGGGCTTTAAGATGAAAATCCGTCTTGTTTCACGGCTGTCTCCTTTCCGTCTCTGAGGTAGGGGGTGTGAGAAGCCAGGTTCTGGTCCAGTGGCGGTCGGCGAGTCTGCTGCAGCTGGCTGCCACGCGTGGCACCGGTGGGGACGGATGCCGCACGCACAGCCACGTGTCTCATCCGCCCACGGCGTTTTAGCTGGGAAGGGAGTGGAACTGCAGGATGCGCTTTTTTCTCCCTCATGTACTTGGCATTCGTATTGCCTTTCCTCTGTCGAGTCTGTAGAGAATGAAGAATGTTTCCTTTATCTGCACAATGGGGCATTTTTTCCCATACAAGAGAGGACTTGTAGGGAGAGGAGGAGATGAAATTTTGGGCATGTGGATCCCGTATGGCTCGTAAACCACGTAAGTGGCAAACTGGGTCACTGCAGAGGACTTGTATGGTCAGCAACTTGGATTACACTAAATGAGTTTCGAATTGTGAAGCCTAATTATAATGGTAGTCACGGGGATTAGTCTGTAAGGAGGCTACTTGAAAGCTTTGGTTTTCAGAAAGATAATTTAAAATGGGAGTAGAATTTTGTAGAGAGAAACATGGAGTTCGGAACAAAGCTGTGCTATGCCGCGCAAGGACAAGCTTTGGATTTGATTTATCTGGATTAATTTCCCATTCCCGGTAATTGGTTTGCCCTACCAAAACGTGCATACGTGATCTCTTTTCCATAAGAGAGTTGCTTTATCTGTTTACCGAATGTGTGTGCTAATAAGTTATTTTTTTTCCTATCACTTATCTTCAGAGGTCTCAGCTGTGGGAGGTGGGAGTCGAATGAGAAATATTTAACATGGTGACACATGTTAAATAACCATAACACATCAGTGTTCACCTGAATCACGAAGAGCATTAGTGTGCGTTATTTACTGGGTACAAGTTTACTTTATGCCGTCGTAAATCCAGCCCAGGTCAGCCTATTTCAGTGATATCAGTGTAACAACACATGTATCTGTATGTCCCTAATTCTTCTGACATAACTAGTTTCCTTTTTAATTGGATCTTTAACTGAGTGTTCTTCCCAAATAAACTCTTCAAGAATAATTGGCAACTGTCATCTTCCTCCTATAACAAAACATTGAAGAAATGATCGATGCTTTTTTTTTCCTCCTGAGATATTTTGGTTGTCTAGGAACTCTGTACCTTCCTAGGTGTGTCCACCAGGCACTAATTGCCTGGATTATCTAATCTGCGCAGTGATAGCGCACTATTAATATTGGCTTCCTGACAGCAGTTGTCGGAGCTCTCAAGTGAGAGCGACACCGTGCAGATCTTATCTGGTGAGTGATAAGAGATTCTTGTCTTCCGCTGTTTGCCTTGGCTTAGCATGTTGGCTTGCTTGAAAATAGCCATCTGCAGCTGGTTTTTGCTTCTGTTAGTCACCGAAGAGCAACAGTGCGTTTGCGGAGGGGCTGTATTTTCCACACAGGTTTTCAAATAGATTATTACTGGAGGTACGATTTTGTGTTTTCCTAAAATCTGCTTTAAGAATTCGTTTTTTTTCTTAAGCTACAAAGTGACGATATTTCAGGCTGTAGTACTGTGTGTGGATGTAAATGTTATTAGTCAGAGATCCTCTTCTACTTACCTACCTGAGGCACATGTGGTGCCTGTGAGAGCTCGCAATAGCAGTTAAAGCACGGGAGCCAGAGTGCTCAGGCTTTGCTCCCAGCTCTCCTAATAATTTGTTACAAGTCAGGCTTTAAAACATCAACAGTAAGACCTACCAGCTTCACAGAGGTGTGGTGATATGCAGAGCTTCGATGAAAGCTCTTTATCGCTAATCTCTTTCTTTTATTCACCATGTTAAACTTCATCTAGAAATACTTGAGAGCCAGTTTGTTACTAGAGCCTGTAATTAGGATTTTAATGTAGTCATGTGATTTCAAAAGCTGCTTTAATGCTTTTTGTTTGCTTGTGTTTTGTTTTCTGGCAGGTTGGAAGCAATTTTGGGTATTTTCCAAAGGATTTACTTGAAATAAATCATAATTATTCCAAGGAGGAGCTAGAGTTAACAACAGATGTAAGTCTTACTTGGTGTTTTTCTGATTGGTCTGCTTACTGTTTCTTACCTCAGCATTCAGTAAAATCCCTGAGGAGGAGAAAGGATACCAGTGATCCTTAGTTACCATTGGTTAGTAAGCAGCTGCATACGCGCCGAGAGGCACGTGTGTTGGGGGGGTAGAAGGTTTGCATGGATACGTATGTGGATGGGTGTGTGAGTATCAGCCCAAAATGTGGGCATTGATGTGTTCCTGAATATTCTGGTTTTCTTCTGACAGAATCTGCTTGGCTTGAACCCTGGAAGTGCTGCTCGCTGGCTCGCACAGGCTGTTGGGATATGTAGTCATAATTCTTTCTTTTCCCAAACTTTAGAAGTGTAAAGTACTATCAGAAGCAAACAAAACCTGATACTCTGATAGCCCTTTGGTTCTAGAATCGGTCCTTCAACCTTGGACACGTTAATGGCTCTCGTGCACTAATAGCTTAGTAGCTCCGGAGTGGTGTGAGTAGGGCTTGTTTGTGGTCGCAGCTTAAGTCCCTGACAAAGTCACATTTGGTGGCTTCCACTGCTGTTCAATTTACTTTTCAGGAATTGTGTGACAGGCATCTCCTGCCTGGAGGACTTGGTCATTTGAGGAGGGACCAGCTAAAAGAGATTGGGGCAAACAAGCTTAGTGATGTTGTTCTCCTCACTGGCGTTCAGTGATAGAATTGCTCTTAATTCAGGATGTATGTGATGAGTAAATTATAACGCTGTCAACTCCACTGCAGACTTCCAGTTTGTCCTTACTAGGAGGTCTTTGAAGGGGCTAAGACATGAGCTTTTTTATTTAGGTTTTTAAGAGTCCTTGGGCAAAACTTCTGGTTTCAAGAGTTTTGGGTAAGGACTTGAGTTAATTCTACATGATTAATTGAACTTACTTTGCTGCTTTGTCTCTCTAACCAATCAAATGGATTTAGTCACATCACTGTAATAAAGAAAATACTGTTTGTGACTACATACTGTTTTTCATTTCAGGAAACAGACTTTGTGTGCTTTGATGGCGGAAGGGATGATTTTGATAATTATAATGTGGATGAGCTTTTGAAATCATCACAAGAGACAATAGAAAATGAAGGGGAAACTGGATTAAGTGATCCAGGGACAAAACCAGCTGAAGGAATTGACTGGGAAGAGGAGATTGACAAGGCTGATGGGGTAAAGTCCCCTGATGCTTTGGAGACAGACGATCATGCGCTAAGCACAGAAGATGACAAGGAAGGCCTTGCCATGACAGAGGATGTAGACAGTTCTGTTACAGAAGGAACTGAAAATACTGGGGGAGACTCCAGTGTCAGTAGTCACAAAGACAACTCTCAGGGAGCTCAAATTGCACATGAGCACTTGAAAGGAATGCTGCATGGGATGCTGAAAGGGCTAGAAAGTGAAAATACCAAAAACACTAGTATTCCTCAGGGTGAAACCAGTGAACTTGACAAAGAGAGCGAGGAAGTCAATGCCTATGCGCTTCTAAACAGAGAGCTTTCTGTGAGCTTGAAAACGAAGTTTGGTTCAACTGCCGATGCTGTTGTATCGGATGACGAGGTGACTCGCCATGTCACATCGCTGGAAGATGATGATAATGAAGACTTCGGCGTTAATGCTCATGGTGCAGAGGATGAGCCAGACTTTGCAGATCAGTCTGAAGATATTCCTTTGCTGTCTTTCTCAGCAGAGGACAAAATTACATCCCCAGAGGATTTAGATGATGAGGAGAACAAGGACATTGAGTCACAAAACCATGAACCCGATGAATATGCAGAGGGTGCTACAGAGCTAAATAACCAAAGAGACAGTGAGGAAGATGATGACCTGGATGAATTCATTCTTAAGGATGCCCTCAGTAAGAGCGAGAAGCTGGGTGACAGTATGCCTGTGGACAGGTCCGAACCTAAACAAACAAAAGAGAAACGGGATGAGGTGATGGTAATTGGTAAAAAAGCAGCACCAGCAACAGCTCAAACTGAGGATTTCTCCAAAGAACTCCTTACAAAGGAACCTGTAGGTACAGGTGATCTGGGTTCGAAAGGAAAACCAAGCAAAACTGAACAGTTTGAAGAGCAGCTCACGGCTGATGAAACTGAGACACGTACCGACGAGATGAATGGTACGGCTGTGCCTGATCCGCGTGGTTTGCCTGATCCAGGAGATGATCTGGAGTCTAAAGCATTTGTTAAAAGCAAGCAAGAGGCTTTAAAACCACCTGTTAGTGATATCAACAAAAGTCCAGAAAGCGTGCCGCTTGATAAAACGGAGAAAGAGGAGAAAAAGATTGAGGGTGACACCTTGGAAGAGGACTTGGAAAGGGATTTAAAGTACAAAAACCTGTGGGAGAAAACAAAGGAGAAGGTAAGAGCTGAGGGCAAGCCTTCTGTTGATGTCCCAGCCAAACCAGAAGAGGTAAAAAATGCATCTCAGAGTGACATAGGAGGTCTTGACCTCGTGGAGGAGAAACTGGAATATGGCATGCCTGCTGTGGAGAAAGAACTGCTGAGACATGAAGAAGATTTGAAGCAAACAGGCGAGAGCTATCATGAAAATCAAAAAAACGCCTCTTCTAGTAAAGAAACTGAAATGAAAAGGAGAAATGTGACAGAAACCCCTGCAGGGGAGGGAGACCCAAGCCATAAAGGAGCTGTCGAGCAGCCTGGGCCTTGGGAAAATGAGACTGAGCATTCAGAGGCAGATGCGAAAGAAGAGCTTTCAGGAAATCTTGGCAAGATGACAGCATTTGAAGAGGGCACCGAGAAAAGTTCCCCAGAAGAAATATCAAAAAGCACTACTCAGAATACTAACGCGGAGAGCCTTACTCAGCAAGGAACTGCCCGTACTGAGGATGCAGATTCAGACAAAAGTCTTGGCGCAAATTCAGCTGAAGAAGGAACACCAAGACCAGGACTGCGATCTGAAGAGCCAGATGCTGAAGGCGACCCTGACCAGAAACAAGTGGAGGAGGAGCTGCTGGAAGATGAGAACGCTGCGAGCGCAAAGCTGTCGCAAGCAAGGGCTGCAGAGGGGCAGGGTGATGCGCTGAATGATAAGAGTACAGACGCTGAATTAAAAGTACCAAGTGAAGCTGTTCCAGGAACTGCAAATCCTACTTATCAAATGGGAGAGGGAACTAACTCGCTTTCTAAGGAGGCTAAAAAGCTGACCAGCACACAAGGTGCAAGCGAGCCTGGGGACAAGGAGGTCGGAGTACCAGTGGGTGATGGTGCTAAGTTGGATGAGAGGGAACATGTCACGGATGATGATGATGACTCTTTTGAAGCTGGGGAAGAACATAATTTCCAGTCTCCAGACACAGAAGACCATGATGACTTTAACCAAAAAGATCATCTCCCTGAGGGCGTTTCACAGAAGGACTCGGAAGAGGTACAAAATCTAAAGCACACAAGAAATGACCACCAGCTGTCCCATTCCCCCAGCCCCGCTGAGAGCCCTGCAGCCACAAGTGACACTGGAACAGACTTCAGCGAGTCTGTGAAGCAGCTCACGATACTGAGACATTTTTTGGATGAAAAGCGTGTAATGCATCTACAGAAGTACCTCGGGCTTCAACAGGTGACTAGGATAGAAGCCATGTTTCACGACATGAAGGTAGAGATGGAGCTTGCTCGGAAAGCAAGCCATAATAACGAAGATGTAGAAAAAGCCTTGGACCAGATACTTGAGTTTTCAGAATCGAACATCATGAATGTCGTGGCACAAGCTCTGGATTCCAGAGTGGCGGAAAATGAAGAGGAGGTGGTGAAAGAGATGGATCTGTATGATGAGGAGAGTGCGCTGATGGATGATATTCAAGAGCTAATGTATTCTTTTAGGAGTAAATATTCATCTGCTAGTGATAGTGCCCCACTTGCATCTGCTCCAGAAGAGGAAGATGATCAGCTGCATGGTCAAGGTAGGATGTTAAACCTGTTAATGAACAGATTAAACGGATGTAAAACCTTATCCCAGACAACAGAGTCACAGAGTGGTAGGGG